TGAGCTGTAAGAAGATCGCCTATAATACTTACTTCACCTAAATTTGACATCTAGCCTTCTTCTGTTTAGGAAAAAAAACCAAACAACAAACCACAAAAAACTTGAGATACATTAGTGCTTTTACAATTATTAAGAACATCAGAAATCTAGCATATTTCACTGCTATGTAGATTTAGGGTACATGTCAAAACAAAATGTCAAACTTATGAAAATAAATAAGGAATTAATAACCTATTTATATTTTATGAACTATTCAGCTCAGATTTCCATACGAGTCTTCAGAACTTCGAAGGAGTCAGTATTTGAAACATTTGGGATGAATCTTCTTGAATTTCAAAGGACTAAATGAAGAGTAAATTAAACAGGAAAACATGTTTGCCTGAATAATAATGGATTTACCTTTGGCTTGATCTATAAACTACATAAGTTCACAGTGTTTTGGGGTTTGTTTATTTCTTTTGCTTTTGGTTTTGGATTTATTTGTTGTTGTTGGTTTTTTCCTGAATAGGAAATAAGATGTTATGTTTTGTTTTGCTTTTTTTCTTGAAATTGCTCAAAGTCAAAATTTGAAGAGTCTCCAGAAGCTCTAAGTTGGAAATGACCTCTCCTTTCCTCCTATTAAAGGAAATCTGCTTTCCTAACGGAAAGAAAAACCTTAGATTAGGTTGTTCGCAGTGATGTTGAGCTGTCTCAAATATTTCCAGTGAGATCCAGTGCTTCTCTGGGCTACCTGTTCAAATGCTTAGCTATTCTCATGGTGAAGGACTTTTTATTTTTATATCCAACAGAATTTCCCTTCAGCAACTTAGGCCATTGCTTCTCACGCTGTTGACATGCATCCTGATGAAGAGAGTAACTTCAGCTTCTTTCTAGCCTTCTCTTTAAGCAACGGGAGAATGTGATTAGATTTTGTGTAAGCTTTCCATTTCAGGTTTGAACAAACCCATATCTATCCGTCTTTCTTTGTAAGTTAAGATCTGCAGCCCTTCGATCACCTTGGTGGACCCTCTCCAATTTTAACCTCTCTCTTGAAATTGGAGGACCAATACTGGACACTTTTCCTGGTGTGCCAAATATTGTGGAATAACAACATCCCTTGTTCTGTTGGCTGTAGTCTTGTTGATACAGCCAGCAGTTTGCTTTCCTGCTGCAAGGATGGGCTGCTTACTTATATTCACCTTGCTCTCCTCTTGGATCTTTAAGTCATTTTCAGCAAAGATATGCTCCTGCTGGTCAGTATAGATGCTTGGGTTTACTTTCTTTCAGAGTGGACTTTTGTTGACCTAACTTTCTTCCAGGGTATCCACCTCTTCTCCCTGTTCTCCTCATCCACAAACTTGGTGAGAGTGCTTTCAATACCATTTTCTAAACTCTTTATAAAGATCTGGAACAGTATCAGGTCTGGGATTGATCCCTGAGGCACCCCACTCGTGACAGATGCCAATCAGGCCTTGAGCTACTAACTGCCAACTCTCAGCCAGTTCTCTATCGTATCCTGCAAGGTTGTCATCACGAATGTTGTGAGAGAACACCCTGGGCATCTTGCTAAGGTTCGTATGTCATTCTTTTTGTCAGTGGAAACACAAAAGTGGTAAGCTTGTGGAAGTAATTCAGATCCAGCATTTCACAGTCTGTGTATTATAGAAGGTCAGAATAAATGCTCATATTTGTTCCATTTGTTCCTTAGTAGCCTGTGTCCACTTAGAATAAATGTTCAGGAAAACAAAAGTCACATAGCTGTTATAGACAGCGTCATCAATGGAAAATAGTGTAGCAGGATTGAGTCTGTAGTGGGTTTTTTTTGACTTAAAGATTATCATGGTTTAATTCTTATGTGCTACAGTGTGCTTTTATAAAATATGTGAGAACTGGGCTTCTGATTTTATTTTAATGTGGTTTTTTTTTTTTCTCTAAATTTAGTCTTCATTGCCTTTAATCTTTCCTTCAGCCTCCTTGAGTTTCAATATTGTACGGGTGACAGCAAAGCTAAAGCATTGTCTGTGACACCCGAAGGCTTTTATAAGCCAAGAAAGAAGTTGGATACGATCATTAAAATAAAAATCTCCATTAATGGGTCTGCACTATTTCCTTTGTAGAAAAATGTCAGAAATTACCTGGCAGATTTTTACTGTGCATTTATCCAGTCTTCTCTTGTATCACGAGGTCTGCTTTCCTGTCATTTGATGCTTGTTTATTCTGGCAATCATTCAACATTGTGACATTTTTCTAATCTTGTGGTCGGGAGTCTCAATGCTTAAATATTTGTCTTTCATAGCCACTGTTTCAGAATAGAGCAGTAACACATTACTAATGCTGATTCCTTCTGTTTCCAGCCTCACATTTGTGCATAACATTAGGCTGACTTAGAACCTTTTCTGTACTTCCTTCTGTGATCCCTGACATGCATAGTTATCTTCCAATGATAAAAATCTTTAATTTATGAACGCTGAGTATGTCACTGACAGTATCCTCTGAATGTCATTGTGAGAGCTACCATTTTATGCACCACATAGATGACTTGCTTGATTTGCTTAGTCTTTTCATTTCCATCTTTCTTTTTAGTTAGTTTCTCTATTTTATTATTTTTTATTATTCCAGTGAAATTCAAATGTTGCAAAGCATAGGTGGCTTTCTTACTGTTCTGAACTGTCTCCAACAATACTGAGGGAACACAGGCATGATAAATCGTGTCACCACAAGTTATCTTATATAGACATCATTTCTGGTTGATTTCAAGTTACATTGGATTTCCAGACAGTGATTTCCAGTTAGAGAAAAGAGTATGATGAACTAACCCAGATAAAATAATGCACTTCATTGATAGAGTATATAAGTTGATTAACCAGGATGATTTGTACATAGTGGAAGAAGATGGAAACATAATGTAAATTGTAGCATCTGCTTCTATCAGTATGAATGATGCAGTCATAAGTACAAGAAGAAATATGTACATATTGGAGTGTCTTTAGTTCAATGTCAAATTGGCTGCTGATTCTTTTTATTGTTCTGGCTTCTTGATTTTAGTCATGTGAGTCTGCTGAGTGGTTTGCTAAAGACAGAGGAAACTCCTTGGTGACTGTGTTTTCCTGAGTCAAACACTAGGTTTTAATTTTTAGATAAAACATTCTCTGTTATGCATAAAATGAATCACATAACCTGTAATACACATGTTTTTTGATAAGAATTTATAAATGCTATTTAGAATTTAGTGTTCACAAGTAGGTGGGCCGTTTTCCTTAGCATTATTTCAGTTCTGATTTTAAGTGCTTAAGGGTGGAAGAAAGCAGTGCAAAAGACCCTGGATTTTTTTAACAGAGAAATACAGAAATGTGCATGTATTATGGTTCATTATTTCTTAATTTTCTACTATAGATCATTTAGCTTTTTACTGTATCTTTTTCCCCAACATGCATCAGCAATGTGTATCTAACAGTTTACTGAAATTCTTGTATCTTATAATCTTTTATATTGATTACTTATAGTGAATAAAATATTTGTTTTGTGTACTGGAGTAAAAACTGTATGTCAAAAAATATTTTTCAAATATTGAGGAATGTTCTTTTTACATCTTTTCAGTATTACCTAGTAATTTAGAGCTGATGTGCATTGCTTGATTTTTGCCACAGAGCAATATTAAATGTTTGCAAGAATTATTTGATTTTCAAAACAAGCCCTATGAAGAGAGACCATATCTTTTTGGTCTTCTCTATTTCATGTATTCACAGTATATTTTGCAGAAAAATGGTTTCTCCTTTCTTTGTTTCTAAAATCCTTTGCAGCTGAACACAGACTATGTTCAATACAGCAACAATGAATTAATGCAGAATCCTAAAAGTCTTCAGCTTTGTTAGCATTGACACTAGAGTTCAAATACTTGATTTACCAAGTCCCCAGGCAGAGTGAAATAACTGTTGGATTGTATCTCAGCAGGGGGAGAAAGTCATCTTTTTTTCCTAAATAAATGTTCTTTTTATTCCACATACAATGCTAATTCTCCTCTGGGGCAGAATTTATGGCTGCCAGTCAGCTGAACTTCAGAAAGGTTTGTAGTGTCAATCTTTGTTTAATATCTCCACCAGAGCTGACGGCAGAGTTATGTTTAAAGCTGGCATTAAAAGATGAAAGACTCCTTAAAAAGTCTGATTATACTGTTTTTTATGCTATATTTCTTCATTTTATTTACTAGGCTAGATTTAACATTACCAAACATTTTCTAGTACATCTTGAGTTTGAAACATTATTGAAAAGGTAGCGCAAATGTAATATAAAATGTTCAGTACTTCTACTACTTTCAGTTTGTCTAGTGGTTATGATCTCTTAAGCACTGTGTTTTAGAGAGATGAGGGAAAGTAATACCTATTTTTAAGTAAGCTCAGGTGAAATAATGGAAGCAACTCCTCTATAGTTGCAGAGCATCACTTTGTGCCAAATTACTCTCTTCCTATCATAACAGTTCTTTTCATTCTGGGAACAGTAAAGTGGAAAACATATATCTATTTTTAAAAATTTTAGTAGTCAATTTCTGAATGGCAAGCTAGTATTAGTGTGCCCAGAGTGTGACACTATTTCTTTCAAGTATGTTTACAATATACCATGGATAAAATGTTTGCTCCCCTCTCCCCGCAATTGTTTTCTTCATAAGTGCTTTGATTACTTATGTTGCCACACTGCATTGACTACAATGAAATACTTAGCAGTTTTCTACTGAATTCAAATACTTGTAGGCCTTCATCCTGCATAGAAACATATAAACAATAAAAAAACCCCAGATAACAGATATTGTGCATTTTCTTGAGAATCTGTCCAGCTCTTTTGTTTTACACAGACATGCTGAGACATACAGATGAGACCAAAGGTACAGACAGCATTAGAAGAATGCACTGGTAAAACCTGACAGGTAGTAAAGTGTGATAAGAGTGCAATGTACAAACTGAGAATTTCCTTTTACTCTTATGAGCATGTTATTCTTATTCATATTGCATCTAATATTTGTCTTTCAGAAATCCAAAATCTCCACTTATGACAAGATGTGGGCTTTCATGAGCAGCAGGAGGCAGTCAGTACTTGTCAAAAGTAATGAAGAAGGTATCCAGCGTGTGCTTACCTCTGATTATGCATTTTTAATGGAGTCGACAACCATTGAGTTTGTCACACAGCGGAACTGTAACCTAACACAGATTGGAGGCCTGATAGACTCAAAAGGTTACGGCGTTGGAACTCCCATGGGTAGGTGATACTTCAAGAATTTGTTCTCTGTTCATTAATCTTACTTGCTGCAGTAGCTTAGAAAAGCTCCAATAAACTGTTGCTTTCTCTAGACTGCTAACATTTTTCCTCATTCTCTTTCTCCCACCTGAAGAAAATACTGCATATTTTATCAGTGTTTATGGATTTTATTGAATTTTCTAAACAGAGGAAAATTACTTCATATAAGATCGGACATTTTCATATGATACATTTCTCTTATATGATGCCTTCAATATGTTCAACAACAAGGAGTACTTTTCACAGCACTTAAAAAAAATTAAATTAAACAAAATGTTTTTAAAATGTTGATTTCTCTCTTTACAGAGTGAGATGCTAGTAGTATAAGGCTTGGGCTAGCAAGTGATGATAATACTTCTATACTAAAACGGTTAATCACTGAGAATCTTAGAAGAGGAGGAAGGATTCCATAACATGCCATCTATAATCCACCACTGAATTGACCTTGTGGAATATGGTTTTGAGAGCAATTCCAATCCTGTAAATATTTTCCAAGTCACATGTTCTTGACTAGGTACACAACTTTAGTTGCAAGATTAGAAGCCAACTGCAGATGTTAGTTTGGCTGCTAGAATCCAGAGGATGGGACTCTGCAAACACTGGAGTGCTGAGTTCACATTGACTGCAGCAGTTTTTGAAGGACATGAGCTGAGGCTGTGGCTTTAGATTTCAGAATAGATGGGAGTAGAAAATGATGTTACACAAAGACCCTGTCAGTACTGCGCAATGATCCTACTCGATATTGTAAGTTAATTCTACTGACTTCTTTGCAAGGCTAATATTTACTTTAGCTTTATTTTTTTAAGAAGAATTTAGTATTTTGTGATTGATGTATGTTTTATGTTTTTTTTCAAATAGGTCTTACATTTAGTATTGATCTATTTGTGTTAATAGTACATACTAAACCATTGTATAGGGAAAGTTGTGTCCAGTATTTTAAACATGCACATGTTAAGGAATATCTTAGATAAGGCATTATCTACTATTATCACACATACGTTTCTCTGTATTTTGTAGATATTTACTGCAACTTTAATAACATCATTATAATTTTCCTTATTTCGGTAATTTGCTATGAAATGAACATCTCATGCAGAAATTACGATTCTGTTTGTTCTGTCTTTGAGCAACTAGTTGTTAGGTGTCTAGTTTTAATCCATATATCAGTTTCTCCACCTTATTTCATTGTGGCATCTCGTATTGCTGAATGACTTCTGTAGACATAGAAGTGCCAGAAGGGACTGGATTTCACTCCTGCCGTTCTTTTTTGACATCTTGCATTTTCTGACACATAAACATTTTGTTATTTTTGAGAGTGAAAACTACCTTCCCCTTAGGTTTAATATGAAAAAAAAATAATTCTAGTGATAGTTGAAAATCCTTGAATAAGCTGAATAGAAACTTGTGAAGCATCTAAAACATTGTCCAGAAGTGCTCATGGAAGTGCCAAAGTGATGGGAATCAGAGAGAATATGCTATTTGACAAATAATTTTGATTATGTGTACATCAGAAGAGAAGCATAAAAAATAGAGAAAAAATGTTGAAATACAATGGTAAAGCCAGAAGAAGACATTTAGAGGAAAAGGTGTTGAATGCAAAGAGGCAAGAAAGTAAATAGGTAAACTCTTTTGTTTTTTGTCACCTGCTTTATTTTGGGAGAAGAGGAACAATGCATATACTGTTTCTTACTAACTTTAATCATATCAAAGACATTATTCAGCTCTTATTGATCTGCAGGATTCCAAGTAATAATAAATTATCTGTGTTAAGAGAAAAAATAGTGGTGTACAAAGGGTTCTGTGAGCTGATAGTTGTCTAGAATTAAAACGAAATAAAAAGAGGACATACATGTAGGAATCGGAGATCACCAAAGGAGTAAAACAAGAGTTGAAACAGTGTCAAACTTAACAGAAGAAGTTGAAGTAAGATCTGTAAAAAAGGTGAAACCTTCATTAAAGGATGAAGGAAAGGCTGTGGATGTTATCTACCTTGACTTCAGTAAGGCATCAACACTGTTGCCCCCAGCATTCCCCTAGAGAAATTGACTGCTCTTGGCTTGGATGGGCATACGCTTTGCTGGGTGCAAAAATGGTTGGATGGCTGAGTCCAGAGAGTTGTGGTCAACAGAGCTGACCGCAGTTGGTACTGGTCATAAGTTGGTAACTTAACCAGTTGGTAACTGGTCATAAGGGGTGTCCCCCACAGCCCAGTACTGGGGCCTCTCCTGTTTAACATTTTTATCAATGATTTGAACGAGGGGACAGAGTGCACCCTTAGTAAGTTTGCAGATGACACCAAGCTGGGTGGAAGTGTCGATTTGCTTGAGGGTAGGGAGGCTTTACAGAGAGATCTAGATAGGCTGGATCACTGGGCCAAGGCCAACTCAATGAGTTTCAATAAGGCCAAATGCCGGGTCCTGCACTTCGACCACAACAACCTCCAGCAGTGCTACAGGCTTGGGGAGGAGTGACTGGAGGGCTGCCAGGCAGAGAAGAACCTGGAGGTGTTGATGGACAGCTGGCTGAAAATGAGCCAGCAGAATGCCCAGGTGGCCAAGAAAGCCAACAGCAACCTGGCCTATAACAGGAATGGTGTTGTCAGCAGGAGTAGGGAGGTGATCATGCCCCTCTACTCAGCTTTGCTGAGGCCACACCTCGAGTACCGCACCCAGTTTGGGGCCCCTCACTCCAAGAGGGACATTGAGGTGCTGGAGAGGGTACAGAGGTGGGCTACCAAGCTGATAAAGGATTTGAAACATATGTCCTATGAGGAACAGCTGAGGGATCTGGGGCTATTTAGGCTGGAGAAGAGAAGGTTGAGGGGAGACCTTATTGCTCTCTACAACTGCTTGAAAGGAGGTTGTAGCCAGGCGGGGGTTGGTCTGTTCTTCCTAGTAACAACTGATAGGATGAGGGAAAATGGCCTCAAGTTGTGCCAGGGGAGGTTCAGGTTGGATATTAGGAAGAATTTTGTTACTGAGACAGTTGTCAGGCATTGGAACAGCCTGCCCAGAGAGGTGGCTGAGTCACCATCCCTGGAGGTGTTTAAGAGACAGGTAGATATTGCCTTGAAGGACATGATTTAGTGGTGTTGATAGGGCTGGGTTGGACTCGATGATCTTGAAGATCTCTTCCAGCCAAAACTGTTTTATGATTCTATGATGAGGAAATACAACAGAACCTAAAATAAGATATAAAGTAAGATTTTCACAAAAGAAATGAAGGTACAATGAAATAGCATTAGGAGCTTTCCCAGAACAGCTAAGAAAAGAGATTAATCCTTTGTTTGGGTAGTATCTATAAGACGCTATTCAAAGAACTATAACGCATAAAATGTTTGTATCCTGTGTATTAACCACACAGTCTTAGAGGAAAATTTTGGATGGCCTAAAGCATAGTTCACCTTACTTCACCACAGAAACTTTATGAAGAAGCATATCATACTGCCTGTTAGAATAGTTTTTGTTAAATATATTACATCATTGAAGCTAGAAAATCTTACAGAGCATTGGATAATGCAAAGAAACTAATGCATAATAGTTTATTTCATTTCTACTTGAAAAAAATAATTCCAATGTCTTTAAAAGAACTTCTGAAATACAGAAGTAGATTTAATGATCTTTTTAGTGATTACAGAAAAAGTTTATAGACACACAATTGAGTAATTTATTTTTTGAGTTAATAATCCTAAGAGTAACTCGTCAAGTGCACTACAGTGTGGTGGTTTCTCAAACAAAACATATGTTACTGCTTGTGCCTATTTGGGAAGAAACATACCTTTGAGTGAATTAATACAGAACTACTTGTGTTAGAGGTATGGTATCTGAAAGATATGGATGTCATCTCCCCTGAAGTTGCAGAAATATTCGCACTAATTTGTAAAATATCTTTGTTACCAACCTTATGTTGAATACTGTAGAATGATTATGGTTACTTTTGGTGAACATCATCAAAGTAAGCAGGTGCTTACTATCTTGTTCCTTTTGAAGGCTAATAGAATAATATGTAGCAGAAGTATTAGCAGTAGTAGAATAATACTTAGCAGTATTAGAATAATACTTAGCAGAATACTTACCAGAAAAATAAGATATCAGAGTAGTTCGTGACGGGATAATCATGATGGGATAATCATGATGGGAGAATGCAACCACCCAAATATAGCACCAGCTTAGAGTACTACAGTAAAAGCTCTCTGTTCACTATGTGAATGTTATAAATTCAGATAAAGAAAGTTGCACAAGTTGACAAAAAAAAAAAAACAAACAAAGAAAACAACACACAACAGAAGATCAGGCAGCGTATTACATATCAACTCCTTCAAAACATACTGAAGAAGCAAAATCTGAGTTTACATGATTATTAATCCTTCTAGAAGCATTACTGATGTAAACAAAGTTTAGATTGCTAAAATGTGTCCTTGATGAAGGAAATTGGAATCTTCTAGCACAAAGCAGGATTGGTATATACCTTGAAAATCAAAGTACACTGATATTTTGCAATAGGTGAAAGTCATATCTTTGCTGATAACTTTATTTAATATATCAGAGATGACACCTATAGCACTGAAAAATAAAATATAATTAATTTGGTAAGTTATATATACAGTGAATGATTCTCATGATATATGTTTATAAATTAAGGTAACAGTGTCGTATGTAGTTGAATTCATTTTCAGCCAACCAATTCTGGTGCCAGGCTAGAAAATCTTTATAATGAAAAGTGAAGAACAGACCTAGGATGAGATGTTTGACAGCAATTGATACTTTGGAGCAGATAAGAGCAAAACTATTTGTAACAGGAGTGGTGTTTGCTTTGTTTTATGTTCCATCTTTGCAACTTTCCTTACAGCTTTGTAACCAAGAGTGTAACACTTGCAAATTCTCTGTCTGGTGACATTCAAAACCCACCTGGAATTGTTCCTGTGTGACCTACTCTAGGTGATCCTGCTCTGGCAGAAGGGG